CTAGTAAGAAAAACAAAAGCAATAGAAGACTTGAAAACCCCAAAATCTCGAAAGCAGTTGAAATCTTTAATGGGTTCACTACACAGTTTACAGAAATTTTTACCCAAACTCGTAGAATTAAGCGCACCTTTAAGGCCACTACTGAGTCAAAATAACGATTTTGTCTGGACGCCCGTTTGCGAAAATGCGTTCCAACAATTAAAATCGCTGGTGGAAAATATTGTCGAATTACGACACTTCGACCTTCACCGTGAAACTAGAACTATTTGTGACGCTAGTCACGATGGTTTAGGGGCCGTGTTAGAACAGTATTGCGCATCCGGGTGGCATCCGATTTCGTTTGCATCCCGTTACCTTAATCCGGCTGACAAAAAAATACTCTACAAACGAATTAGAATTACTCGCGGTAGTGTGGGCCACGGAACATTTTCGAAATTATATATACGGCCGGTATTTCACAGTCATATCTGATCATAAAGCGCTACTTACATTGTTGAATTCGTCGCCAAAAGGAAATAAAACGTTTTTCAGTCAATTAACTCGATGATATGATCGACTGGTGCCATACGATTTTAAAGTTGAACATAGACAAGGGTCAAAAATGGGGATGGCTGACTATTTGTCTCGGTTTCCGTCCGCAGAGGCACCCGAGACAAGCCATTACGATGAAAATTTTACAGTAGCGAAGATAAGAATGGAAGCCTAGGGGTCAGAAAGTGAATAAAATCAAGCCAAAACCGACGGTAGGGGGCGAACAGTCATGTTTCGACACAACGAAATCAGTTTCATCCAATGAGAATGAAAGAAAAGACGAATATGCAAATATTCACCGTGAGCACGAACGCTCAATAGAGGGCGTGTTTACATGCAACCGGCGGTTAACCAATCAGCGTCGAGATATTTGCATACCGGCGGAAATATGCAAATACCGAAGAAAGAGATTCAGACGTTGTTCTCATTGCTTAAATTACAGTTGCAAGCATAAAAATTTGATTAATTACAATCGCAATCCTTTCAGTTCGAATAATTCAAACAGCAAGCCCACGTTGAAAATTTACCGTTGCAAACCATCCATCTTACAAGATTACAGTGAAAAGCCATTTACTTTAAAAAATTACAGTAGCAAACACCTAATTCGGAATAATTTGGGTAACTCAAAATATACAAAACTGAGTAATTCGCCTAAAAAAATGATCCTCCAACTTCGGCCGTCGTCAACACATCAACTAATTCTGGAAATGTGAATCTAAATGTTCTACTGAACCGCCTAAATCAACCTCCTAGCGTTAGTTCGGATTCCGATATTGAAATGATACCACCCGAAAAACTTGATATTAAACAGACTAATTCTAAAAACTAAATACAATCATATCCTTTCCACGCCAGTTCCCCGGTTTATCTTACCCACTTGTACAAAACGACAAATTGATCTACACTATAGTGCCATCAGACAGTAAAATAGTGAAGAAGATTGAACACCCGGAAGTTTTGAATTTAAAATTGATAGAAGCAAACATTGAAAAAGACCCAATTATGAAGACCATCAGAGATAACATCAGAGACAAAAACCCACAAGCAAAGGAAATAATAACAAGACTAGAACAATACTACGCCCAGCATTACAACGATTTTGCAGTACGTGAGAATTGCCTGTGGATGGACGGCCGGTTAGCAATACCGAAGGATCTATCATCAGCAATTCTAAACCGTCTACATTACAACCATCATGGGCGTGACAAAATGTTTGCAGCCGCAAAAGACGTGTGGATTCCCCTTATGCTGTGGAACATCGCTGCCACAGAAAAATACTGCAAAAGTTGCTTAGAAGCAGGTAAAAACCTTAAACCGGACATTCCAAAAAGTGACATGGGGGAAACTTATGTGCCAATGGAACCAAATGATTTGGTCCAATTAGATTTCTGGGGCCCAGTAAATTATGTAAGGGGTCGGAAAAAGTATGTACTTGTAGCAGTAGATACCTTCTCGCATTGGCCGTCGGCGTATGTTTGTTCAAGCAACAAATCCAAAAATGTATTGAAGTTCCTAAGGAAGTACATAAATACTCATGGACACCCAAGGAAATTAGACATGGATCAGGCTACTGGGTTTTTCTCAAATGAAATTCAAACGTTCTGTAACTACGAAGGTATCGAACTTATTAAATCTCCGGTTAGGGATCATCGGGCGACAGGAATGGTTGAACGAACTATTGGGCCGATAAAAAACTACGTGTTAACTTATCTTCAGGAAAATAAGAACTACAAGTTTGGAGCAATGATATCCCGTGCGCTCAGCGCGTTACGTTTCGTGCCACATTCTAAAACTAAATTAACGCCTTTTGAAGCCTACCATGGACGAGAAGCAAATACGGCTCTGCGAAATTTAACGAAAAAACCGTCATTGAAAAACTTAAATTGGAACAATGTTGTTAACCAAAAGTTATCTTGTTTAGACAAGGCGGGAAATCTCCCGGAAGTAGAACTCACCCTAGATTGGGAGAAGAGAAGTGATTTGGTGTACGCTCCACAAAATAGGAAAGCTCCAATCATTTTGGATGACGATGTGGTAGCGGATCCCAGGGCTCCGAAAGTAGTTGACCCCAAGGAAATAAGTCCACCGAAAACTCCAACATGGCTCAAAAAGCACAAGACCAGTTCAACGACCGTATACCAGAGGACTGGAAAAACGGATCCAAAGGACCCAAGAAGGTATAAACGTTTGCCATTAAAAATTGAAAAATTGACTAAGCATACGGTGCAGATGGAAAAAGGGTCGTTACTAAGGCGGAGTGGTGTTTCTTTAGATCGGCGGCTGAAGAAAGCCTAATTGAGAGTAGAAGCGATGAATGCACCCCAGGACCGAGTAGAAATGTACATAGTACCCCGGGCCCAAGCGAATCCAAAAAGTATAAGCGAAAAGCCGAGAAGGATCGGGTCGCAATGGAGAACGCAAGAAGATCGACAAAACAACGGATAGTGGAGTACAGTGCGGACGAGAGCGAGGACGACGAAGATAGCGAGTGGGAAATCGAGCGAAATGAACCAATAAAAAGTGCGGCGAACGAAGGAAATGATGTACCGTCGGCTAGGGAGAAATCACCAAGATCCGTCGGTGGAAAACGAAATAAAAACCAGTGTGAAACAGCGACGAGGAAATCAACACGACAGAGACGCGGAGTTGACAAAATGGGGGGGGGGGGGGTTATGATCCACCGAATAGAACACAAATGAGAACCACTGACAAGAAAAATAAAAAGATAAAAAAATAAACCTTAAGAGAGGTTTGGCGGGTGAGAAAACTCAATGCAAACTAAAACTTAACTAGTACCATTATACAATACAAAAAGTAACAGTGAGTTTATAAATTTTATATCTACGCTCTAAAATTTATTTGTGGTTGCCCGAATGAGATAGGGACCAGTTTTGAGTTTATGTAAGTGCTATCAATTGTTCAAGATAGAAACCAGTTTGAGTTTATGTAAGTGCTATCAATTCCTCTTTCTGTCCGGGGACCTGCTGTCGTGACCTTGCTATCTCTAATGTTCGATGGGATCTGAAATAAAAGAGTGCAGTGAGATTTCGATTTGATGCCTAACAGTTTGTCTACAATACAACTTATCAACAACCTTCTGGATTTTCTAAACTTACGACTTTAATACTCGTAATATCTCCAATACTCCGTCAATATCTTCGAAAAATGAAATAAAAAGGTTAACTTTTTAGCTCTCGTTGCTGCAAAAGATTCCCCAATTATGTGTCAAATGTCCAAAATTAATTGGTTGTAACTGTTTTGACTTGTATAAAAATTTGAAAATGCATAATTGATTTGTGCTTATTTTTCTCTACAATAAGCACAAACTCAGGTTTAAATAGGCTTTCATTTGCCGTCTGCAAAAAAAAACAATGCAGCATGCGTATTGTATGATTCTGCAGATTAAGATAAAGAAAACAGCACAAAGAAGAAAAAATCTTTAATTACTATGTTTAATTTACTCCTAACTGCTTGTATCAGTGCAAAACCCTGAAAAAAAACTGAATATATACATGTCCGAATTAATTTTCCCTTAAAATCCCAGAGCTCAAGTGAAATAGCGCTTTAATCACGTGCGACCAGGGTGTTAAATAAGATGATTGATATCTGAATAATCTTCGATAGATATCGATTTCTGTTCCGATCCTTTCGCGAAGTGGGAAGAACCTATGCCGCAAATTCTGTTTTTTTTTGTGCACACGCTTTTTCTACTTGAAATAAAGCCCAAAGATGGCCAAATTTGCTACCATATTTAACCCATTTCGATCGTGATTCGGAACCTAAATAAGTTCGAAAAATTATTTCAGTGTCAATGAAAACAGGTATGATCCTTTTTTCGCTTACCAATTTTTACATTTTTTCTTGAAAATTTAGTTGTTTTGTAATTTTAGTTTTTTTTTAAATTATCTATAGCATGCTTCACAGCTATTTAACTTTTCTGAAAGTTCGGTTCCAGCGAGATTCAGGGAACAAGTGGATGTGGAAAGTCTTTTGGTGAAGATAATCAACTAAGATAATTAACCAAGTTATTTTCGATGTTAAAAAAGACCTTAGATATCATCGGATGTCAAGCGTAACTCAAAAGTTTGAATTGCAGAAGTTTTCCAATCGAAGTGTAGAATTTGGGATCTTATATTGTCGTATAATTAGATCTTACATTTTTTGGATCTTAGATTCATCTATAATCTTTTTTCATGACCTAAGATAATTTAAGACTTATCTGATAGTCCAACTTTTACTGAAAATAATCTTTTGGTATTAGGTAAAAAATTAAAAGCTTGCGCTTGTTTTTAATTCTGTAGAAGAATTCAAATGAGCAAAAACCAACCAGTACGATTGGTCTTGTTCTAGAAAACACTTTTTCAGATGATTTCACGAAAAGCACTTCAAACAAAGCGGTTGCTGTTTCAAATCTGTACGAAAGACCAGACTAGTAGCACTAGTATGCCATCTAAAACGCCAACTAGCTATAATTTCAATATTTTTATGTCATAGTCTACATTTCAAAACAATTGCTCAAAATTAAGTTTGATTGAATTCAATGAAGTTCAAAATCATATTAAAGTTTGTTATTATCGAGCAAGTTAGGCAGCTGATATATGACAATGAGTGGCTCTTCACTTGAATGGCATTGCTGGAACAAACGCCGTGATGGTGAACTCAACTGAATTCACCCACTCGGTCGTGATGTGATCCATATCGTGTGTTTTGCCTATTTTTGCCCAATTTGGGCCATAGTTTCTAGTCAAATAGTCTTCCACATTTCCCGGAACCCTAAAATAGTTCCAGAGTCAAATTCAATGTTTAAAATTACACGGTTTCTTGGGTAAATTGTACTTATGTATCGGGTGTTTCCGGCTGCGGCGGCTGTTCGGTCCACTCAACGCCGCGCGTGATCAAATACTTCTGAAATGTAGTTAAAAAATGATATTAAATGGATTTTTAAATGTTTGCAGAAAATGTTGCACCTGAGTTCAAAGTCTCCAAATTTTAGCATCTTGGCGTTCTCCATGACGTCTTCCACGTGATAAGTTTCTTCCGGATATGCTTTTTGATACACTTCAGTGACAGGGATGAGTTTGTCAGGCTGATTTGACGCTCGTTTCATCACGAAGATGTCGCATAATGGGTACCGTAAGCATGCTTTTCCACCAATTCTGAAAAATTAACAACTTGGGACAGCTGAGCAAAAAAATTAACTGCCAAGGAAGATTTTGACCCGTAAACATGGTGATTAGGAAATTAGACGACAATCAAGTACGACGAAATTTAAAAAAAAATGGAACTTAGGCGATAACTTTTTGGTACAAAACTGACGTGCTTGTTTATGATGAAGTCGGTTTCAAAGCAGTAAGTAGGCAGATACTATGTTAACCCATCAGAATTGAGACAAGAAAGCAAACGTACAAAATTATTAATCAATAATTATTTATTGCGAAAGTATGCTTTCTCAAATCGATTCTAGTTGGATAATATATTATTTGTCTACTACTGACGAGCAGGCCCTGAATTTTGAATAAGTGAAAAAACCATTATAATTAAATATATAGTTCCTTAAAACCATAGACTTAGTTGAAAAAAAGTTAATTAAAACTCACGTTCTTACAAAAATTTGCAGCATTAACGGCAAAAAAAATCAATTTCGACAAATTTTCTATTAAAAAATGTAGCGAGTGAGAGAAAACCCGAGATTTTCAAATTTCGTTTCGAGATTTCAAATTTTCAGTTTTGATATTTACAGCAACTAATCGACTGCTCCACCATGAGATCACAGGCCTTGAAGATGTCAATGATGGCTTATGATTCGAAATACTGTCGGTTTTCTGAAGAATTTCAACAGAAACAGTTAAACCGCTAAATTGAGAAAACCTCTTCAGTTTTTATGAGAGAAATAGAAATATTCAGTTAATCTATCCTTTGTCTAAAGGATTTACTTAACAATCATACCCCCTCCCCCCCCCCCCCCGCTCTCTCAAGAAAAAGAGGGGAGAGATTGTTAAGTAGATTACTTGCACCGAATTTTCGACCAATCAGAATGCAGCAAAACTCGAATTTACACACAACGCTCTAGTGCGAATTTACTGTTTTTATTTACAGGGGTGGAGATTCTTTAGTAGAGACAATAGGGTGGGATTGTTAAGTAGATCCTGTCTAAATAAACTAGCTGTAGTGTTTGCTTTCATGATTGTTTCGAAATCTAGGCTATTAACTAAGTTGTTTTCCAGGTAAAATTTTGGACCATCCACACAATTTACAGGAGAACGTCAATCAAACTGAGGTTCAAAAAGTTCAAATTCGATTAAATATAACGGAAAATTGATGGTCGCAGAAAACTACACCGGATCGTCGCCAACTAAAATATGCCAAAAAGAAAAACAATTCCTGATCATGAGGGGCGGCACAAGGTGCATTTTTATCGCTAGTGTGAAAACTTATTTAAAAAAATTTTGTCTCATCAAGCATAGAGGTTGCACACAAGGAACAAGTTAGCAGCATTATGCGTTTTAATCAATGTGTCATAAAGCTTTACGACATCCTATTAATTTAACACAAAATTTTGTCAGAAAAAGGAGTCCAGCACTCGCCGATGCGGACCCAAATTACACAAAAAATAATACTCCGACAAAAAAATGAATATTATCGAGACTGACCCAACCAAAAAAATGAAGGCAAATTACAATGAAGTTTTACAAACAAAAAACAGAAATAAAAAGCTTTTTACGAGAATAAAGAGCTCTCTAAATTTTTATCGCTAGATGTGAAAAACTTATTTAAATAAATTTTGTCTCATCAAACAGAGGTTGCACACAAGGAACAAGTTAGCAGCATTATGCGTTTTAATCAATATGCCATAAAGCTTTACGACATCCTATTAATTTTACACAAAATTTTGTCAGAAAAAGGAGTCCAGCACTCGCCGATGCGGACCCAAATTACACAAAAAATAATACTCCGACAAAAAATGAATATTATCGAGACTGACCCAACCAAAAAAATGAAGGCAAATTACAATGAAGTTTTACAAACAAAAAACAGAAATAAAAAGCTTTTTACGAGAATAAAGAGCTCTAAAATTGGGATCAAACTACTTCCTATAAATCGCGAAACGCCAAAAAAAATTGAAAAGAAAAAATTATGGACCAATATGCCAAAAAAAAATCCGTTAAAAAACTGCCATCTACAATAGTGGACCTTAAGCGCAAATTCAAAATTTTTTACTCTCTAAAACGCCTGTTTTCAATATCCAAATTGGATAACATTTCTTATAAAATTTTGCATAGACAAAGAAGCAAATGATCAGAGATAACCTCTATGAATATATCAATATTTGCTTTCAATGACTTGCCAATGTAATCCGGGTCTGAAAATCCCAGATTTCCTCATATACTCTGATTCGAAATACTGTCGGTTTTCTGAAGAATTTCAACAGAAACAGTTAAACCGCTAAATTGAGAAAACCTCTTCAGTTTTTATGAGAGAAATAGAAATATTCAGTTAATCTATCCTTTGTCTACAGGATTTACTTAACAATCAACCCCCCTCCCCCCCCCCCCCGCTCTCTCAAGAAAAAGAGGGGAGAGATTGTTAAGTAGATTACTTGCACCGAAATTTCGACCAATCAGAATGCAGCAAAACTCGAATTTACACACAACGCTCTAGTGCGAATTTACTGTTTTTATTTACAGGGGTGGAGATTCTTTAGTAGAGACAATAGGGTGGGATTGTTAAGTAGATCCTGTCTAAATAAACTAGCTGTAGTGTTTGCTTTCATGATTGTTTCGAAATCTAGGCTATTAACTAAGTTGTTTTCCAGGTAAAATTTCGGACCATCCACACAATTTACAGGAGAACGTCAATCAAACTGAGGTTCAAAAAGTTCAAATTCGATTAAATATAACGGAAAATTGATGGTCGTAGAAAACTACACCGGATCGTCGCCAACTAAAATATGCCAAAAAAAAAACAATTCCTGATCATGAGGGGCGGCACAAGGTGCATTTTTATCGCTAGTGTGAAAACTTATTTTAAAAAATTTTGTCTCATCAAGCATAGAGGTTGCACACAAGGAACAAGTTAGCAGCATTATGCGTTTTAATCAATGTGTCATAAAGCTTTACGACATCCTATTAATTTAACACAAAATTTTGTCAGAAAAAGGAGTCCAGCACTCGCCGATGCGGACCCAAATTACACAAAAAATAATACTCCGACAAAAAAATGAATATTATCGAGACTGACCCAACCAAAAAAATGAAGGCAAATTACAATGAAGTTTTACAAACAAAAAACAGAAATAAAAAGCTTTTTACGAGAATAAAGAGCTCTCTAAATTTTTATCGCTAGATGTGAAAAACTTATTTAAATAAATTTTGTCTCATCAAACAGAGGTTGCACACAAGGAACAAGTTAGCAGCATTATGCGTTTTAATCAATATGCCATAAAGCTTTACGACATCCTATTAATTTTACACAAAATTTTGTCAGAAAAAGGAGTCCAGCACTCGCCGATGCGGACCCAAATTACACAAAAAATAATACTCCGACAAAAAATGAATATTATCGAGACTGACCCAACCAAAAAAATGAAGGCAAATTACAATGAAGTTTTACAAACAAAAAACAGAAATAAAAAGCTTTTTACGAGAATAAAGAGCTCTAAAATTGGGATCAAACTACTTCCTATAAATCGCGAAACGCCAAAAAAAATTGAAAAGAAAAAATTATGGACCAATATGCCAAAAAAAATCCGTTAAAAAACTGCCATCTACAATAGTTGACCTTAAGCGCAAATTCAAAATTTTTTACTCTCTAAAACGCCTGTTTTCAATATCCAAATTGGATAACATTTCTTATAAAATTTTGCATAGACAAAGAAGCAAATGATCAGAGATAACCTCTATGAATATATCAATATTTGCTTTCAATGACTTGCCAATATAATCCGGGTCTGAAAATCCCAGATTTCCTCATATACTCTGATTCGAAATACTGTCGGTTTTCTGAAGAATTTCAACAGAAACAGTTAAACCGCTAAATTGAGAAAACCTCTTCAGTTTTTATGAGAGAAATAGAAATATTCAGTTAATCTATCCTTTGTCTAAAGGATTTACTTAACAATCAACCCCCCTCCCCCCCCCCCCGCTCTCTCAAGAAAAAGAGGGGAGAGATTGTTAAGTAGATTACTTGCACCGAATTTTCGACCAATCAGAATGCAGCAAAACTCGAATTTACACACAACGCTCTAGTGCGAATTTACTGTTTTTATTTACAGGGGTGGAGATTCTTTAGTAGAGACAATAGGGTGGGATTGTTAAGTAGATCCTGTCTAAATAAACTAGCTGTAGTGTTTGCTTTCATGATTGTTTCGAAATCTAGGCTATTAACTAAGTTGTTTTCCAGGTAAAATTTTGGACCATCCACACAATTTACAGGAGAACGTCAATCAAACTGAGGTTCAAAAAGTTCAAATTCGATTAAATATAACGGAAAATTGATGGTCGCAGAAAACTACACCGGATCGTCGCCAACTAAAATATGCCAAAAAAAACAATTCCTGATCATGAGGGGCGGCACAAGGTGCATTTTTATCGCTAGTGTGAAAACTTATTTTAAAAAATTTTGTCTCATCAAGCATAGAGGTTGCACACAAGGAACAAGTTAGCAGCATTATGCGTTTTAATCAATGTGTCATAAAGCTTTACGACATCCTATTAATTTAACACAAAATTTTGTCAGAAAAAGGAGTCCAGCACTCGCCGATGCGGACCCAAATTACACAAAAAATAATACTCCGACAAAAAAATGAATATTATCGAGACTGACCCAACCAAAAAAATGAAGGCAAATTACAATGAAGTTTTACAAACAAAAAACAGAAATAAAAAGCTTTTTACGAGAATAAAGAGCTCTCTAAATTTTTATCGCTAGATGTGAAAAACTTATTTAAATAAATTTTGTCTCATCAAACAGAGGTTGCACACAAGGAACAAGTTAGCAGCATTATGCGTTTTAATCAATATGCCATAAAGCTTTACGACATCCTATTAATTTTACACAAAATTTTGTCAGAAAAAGGAGTCCAGCACTCGCCGATGCGGACCCAAATTACACAAAAAATAATACTCCGACAAAAAATGAATATTATCGAGACTGACCC